CTTTACTTAGGATCGTTTGATAGAACTTTTCATAGAATTTTTTGTCCCAAATTGTAACATTTTCTCAGTTATGTTTCCTCAAGTATATTTAAATATAACCCCGGCCAAACAAATGATAAGTGTATTACTTCTTAATCATTTCTATCCAGTGATAATCGTACTGACGAGTTCAAAACAAGAAGAAAGCGACGAGTTTGGTCACTCGTTATGGTCCGCAATCAGTTGTCAGCGCAAGGGGTTAAAATAAAATGGTAGAAATAGAATTACGTAAGAATTATGATATTTGTACATTATTGGTCATTGAAATGAAATAGTAAAAATATTATTATGTAAGAACTATGATATTTGTACATTATTGGTCATTAAAATAAAATGGTAAAAATGTTGTTACGTAAGAACTATGATATTTGTACATTATACGTTATTAAAATAACATGGTAAAAATCTATGGTATTTGTACATTATTGGTCATTAAAATAAAATGGTAAAAATATTGTTACGTAAGAACTATGATATTTGTACATTATAGGTCATTAAAATAAAATGGTAAAAATATTACTATGTAAAAACTATGGTATTTGTGCATTATTGGTCATTAAAATAAAATAGTAAAAATATAATTATATAAGAACTGTGATATTTGTACATTATTGGTCATTAAAATAAAATGGTGTAAATATTGTTACGTAAGAACTATGATATTTGTATATTATTGATCATTAAAATAAAATAGAAAGAATATTATTACGTAAGAATTATGATATTAGTACATTATTGATCATTAAAATAATATGGTAAAAATATAATTATATAAGAATTATGATATTTGTACAATACTGGTCATTAAAATAAAATGGTAAAAATATTATTACGTAAGAACTATGATATTTGTACATTATTGGTCATTAAAATAGAATGGTAAAAATATTATTACGTAAGAACTATGATATTTGTACATTATTGGTCATTAACTTCTTACGCTGGAATGACGTGCCGCGCACGTCGAGAATTTTTTGTCATCCCAAATTGCAACATTTTCTCAGTTTCAACTATATTTGAGCATAACCCAGGCAGAACAAAGAATAAATTTATTACTTGTCGATAGGTTTCTATCCAGTGATGTCATACCGACGAGTTCAAAAGAAAAATGTAAACGACGAATAAAGTCGTAATACGGTTCGGTCACTCGTTATGGTCCGCGTAAGTGGTTAATAACGAAGTTAATAACGGTATCAGCTACAACTTTTCCCTCGTAGCCGCGTGAAGAATCAGTTTCGAAAGCAAGAAATATCCATCGAATTTGACTCGGTACGGTTAACCACCGCCACAGCGTGAATATTCAGCGGCAGTAAGCTTCCCCTTCCGGTTATTGAACTTAATGCAACCCGGGTCGATGCGAGATATTAAATTATGCGGTTCTGTTCGATGCAACGACGTTTCCACGGTATAAAAGACCGCGAAAGGAACGAACGAGAGCCTTTACGTCCTCTCTCTCTCTCTCTCTCTCTCTCTTCACCCCTTAGGCCATCCACCCACCACCTCACCTTTATGACGCGACTTTTGCGATAACTGTAATGGCTACTCTCGCAACACGAAGCACGCCATTACCGTCACTCTATTTCACAGTTGATATCTCTCCTCTTTCAGCTTTCTGTACGGCCACCCACACCTCGGAGCATCCCCTTGAAGGCCCCACCTTGACCCAGTGAATTTCTCGTGTGTGTGGCGGAATTCGATAAAAAGCATGCACCGGCAGGCTATTATTATACCATAGAGCGATGATTTATTTTTGCAGGGCGGGTAGGGTCGTGTTGATGGCCGTCGAGGGTTGTTCCACGATGTTCTTTGCGACCTCCGCGGTCGAACAGTCGCACTTTCTTTCTCTCTGCGAGCGCTTTCAACGTATGTTGTACAAGTTTCTTCTGTCCGCGTTTGCGGTTGAATATAGTGCCTCATCGAGGCAAAATGAACGCCAACGTCAAATGTTGTGGAAGAGGTTGATAATTATAAAAAGAAGAAGGTTTTTATACGTTTCTGTACGAATATTTAGCGCGTTACTTTGCGCTGCGCGATTCTTGAACTCTATTATAGGTGTGAAGTCCAATGAATTTTGAACGATATTAAGTATCAAGTAAATTAATTATGACACTTTCGTAGGAATTAGGTATGACATTTTTACTAAATTTTTGTGACATTGGGCGATTGTTAATATATTATAAATATAGGGGAGAAGAAAAGAAATTTTTTGATCATTTAATGTACGGTAGAGTCTTCCTGTTTGAATGTTATATCATCATAGTATATCTGCTGGTAGCAGAAAGTCTTCTAATTATTAGCGGATATTACCAGTATTCGAATATTAATGAATTAATTTGAATATCATTAATAATAATAGTATTTTAAATATAATGTAATAAGTATTTTAAATATTTGAATATTGAGATATTATATTTAAAATAAATATTTAAAATATTATAATGTTTAAAATAAATATAGTGTTTAAAATATCATAATATTAGAATAAACATAATATTTAAAATATTGAGATATTATAGCGATTCACGAATGTTCATTTTACATGATTGAATTGTTGTTACAAGGAAGTGGTATAAGCGTTTTTATGTGAAACGTTAGGATACAAATGATACACGTGGTTATTCTATTATCTACAAATTCCATTAACCAATTATTTTCGTTTCTCTATTATTTCAATATTGAACGCTTTATTATAATTCACTTCTCTATTATGAGAAGATCAAAATTATCAGAAATTTCAAGGGCTAATAATGAAAAATTACGAAAATCATTGTTTTCTAAAATCTGTTTTTCATAGCAATATTTTTTTAATCTTTTTTGAGTGTCTAGCCAATATCTAAGTATTCTAGGAATAATTTTACAGTCAGTAATAAAATAATTAATTTTAGTTTTTAGAGATTCACAGAGAATAACATTATTATTATAATACATTGAATAATTTTAATTTTAAATTTTTGATAATTTCAAGTCTTCTTCATCTTACTGGATCAAGCTTCCAATTTTCGCTTTCACTGAGAAATTTGTGCAACTTGTATATCGCGTGAAGTAAGGAGTGTTGTCATAGATTATTATTATAGACTAGTCAAAGATCAAGGATAGAATAATATAATCATCGAACTGTTGACTTTCATGCAATTCATGTTTTTCTAAAAAAAGTGAAACCTATGTAAAAATTTGTTTCCTTCATTGAATGTTGCGACTAAACTCCGGATGTTTATGTATTTATAGAAAACTTAAAAATTCCAATTGCAGAGAATGCACATGATATGGAGACGTATTGTGGAAAATACGTTTCTACTGATTCAACTTTTTTTCAATTATATTGACAGAAATGTTAATTTACACTATAATTTACGATTTAGTTACAACAGGTACTGCACTTTGAATATTCCATGTATTTCTAAAAATATTATAAACGAGTATTGTAAAATATATAAATAACATATAATATTACAAATGAGTAAATATCTATGCATTTCTATATCTTCAAATATTTGACAAATGCGGCGAATATTTCTTCTTCTTTTGAACTGGATAGGAATGATTAAGAAGTAATAAACTTGTCACTTGTTTTGCTTGGGTTACATTTAAATGTACTTAAAACTGAGAAAATGTTGCACTTTGGGACAAAAAATTTTCGACGAAAGAGGTTAATAACCAATAATGTACAAATATCATAGTTCTTACATAATAATATTTTTACTATTTTAATTTAATGTAAAAATATCATAGTTCTTACATAGTAATAATATTTTTACCATTTCATTTTAATGACCGATAATGTACAAATACCATAGTTCTTACATAGTAATATTTTTACCATTTTATTTTAATGATCAATAATGTACAAATACCATAGTTCTTACGTAATAATGTTTTTATTATTTCATTTTATTGACGATTAATGTACAAATACCATAGTTCTTTTATATTAATGTTTTTACCATTTATTTTAACGACTAATAATGTACAAATATCATAGTTTCTACGTAATAATATTTTTATCATTTCATTTTATTGACGAATAATGTACAAATACCATAGTTCTTTTATATTAATGTTTTTACCATTTATTTTAACGACCAATAATGTACAAATATCATAGTTCTTACATAGTAATATTTTTACCGTTTTATTTTAATGACCAGTAATGTACAAACATCACAGTTCTCACGTAATAATATTTTTACCATTTTATTTAGTGACCAATAATGTACAAATATCATAGTTCTCACGTAATAATATTTTTACCATTTTATTTAGTGACCAATAATGTACAAATATCATAGTTTTCACGTAATAATATTTTTACCATTTTATTTAGTGACCAATAATGTCATAGTTCTCACGTAATAATATTTTTACCATGTTATTTTAATGACCAATAATGTACAAATATCATAGTTTTTACATAGTAATACTTTTACCATTTTATTTTAATGACCAATAATGTACAAATATCATAGTTTTTACATAGTAATACTTTTACCATTTTATTTTAATGACCAATAATGTACAAATATCATAGTTTTTACATAGTAATACTTTTACCATTTTATTTTAATGACCAATAATGTACAAATATCATAGTGCTTACATAGTAATATTTTTACCATTTTATTTTAGTAACCAATAATCTACAAATATCATAGTTCTTACGTAATAATATTTTTACCATTTTATTTTAAACCCTTGCGCTGGCAACTGGTTCGCGGACCATAACGAGCGACCAAACCGTATACAATAATTTGTCGCTTTCTTCTTCTTCGAAACTCGTCGATACGATATCACTGGCTAGAAACGATTAAAAACTAACAAACTTATCAATTGTTTTGCCTGGGTTACATTTAAATATACTTCAAACTGAGAAAATATTGCAATTTTGGGACAAAAAAATAGCGTAAGATGATTAAGATTCGCAGCCTGCCAACCAGTCTAACGTCTCCGTCTCGTTTATTTTCTAGAGCGCGGCGCAGCGGAATCCAAAGGCTGACGGTGTCCAGGCTCGCGTTTCGAAGACACGTGAAAGAGTGCCGGTGACTTAGATAAGAAAAGACTATCGTCAAAACTTCGACGCCTGCTGAGTCTCGGTCGAATCTCGCGACTCGCGCACGAAATTCCCACCCTTCCGGTGCGTCTCGCGGTCGGTGGGAACTCTGGACGAGAGGAGATGTCCCGAAAGTGGTTCCACGGAGGAGACGACACGCTCGAGCCGCCAGACATTCGAAGATAGCGGGTGGAGGCCGCGTGGAGCTCGAACTTCCAGCGTCGGTGATGAGGATTCGCGGTTCAGGGCGCGACGGAACGCCGGCAGGATCAAGCAGAGCTTGAGCGACCGCGTGCAGCCTAGGCCTAGGTTCAAGCTCACTTTTCAAAGAGGGAAGAAGGACGAGGAACGTCCTGATACTTTCACAGAGAAGGATGGAACGTTGAACGACACTTGTGACAAAAAGGAACGCCTCGACGAGGAAGTACCGACTCACGGCAAATTGCACAAGACCGACTCGTTCCTTAGAAGGCTGGTGAGGAACTCGAGGGACAATATTACCGAAGGCTGCGAGAGATTGGTCAGGAACATTCAAAAGAGTCCCCTTTTGCGGAAGAAGTTCCAATCCACGGACGACGATAGACCAGTGCCACCAGTCCGTCGAAAGAAGTACAAGCAACGACCTGTGGACGCTGATTCCATCGACAAACGCGCCAACCCCGAGGAATTTAACAATAACCGCGTTTCTGTTGTTTCTCCGAGTGCCGAGCTCGTGGAGGATGATTTTCTGCTAGTTCGCGAAGCCCCTCAAGGTCACTCGGGTCCCGCCGAGGAGAACGAAGACTCGTCCAAAAGCGTCTCGGTGGAGGACGTGGAGGATCTGATTCGAACGGAGGACAATCTACGGCTGCTGGAACAGCGAGTCCTGATCAGAAGACGTTTGGAGAAGTCCACGAAGCTTCTGCGCGTTCTTCAACCAGCGAGATCCTGGAGCGAGGAGAGCCTGGTCCGCGCGATAGAACAGGTTCATCGTACAGTCCACGTGGATTGCTCGCCAGTCGCTCACCGAAGATACGCCGGCGAACAGTCAAGGTCGGCGGAGTGGCGAGACAAGGTAGAGTCGTGGAAAGCGAAGCGGTCGCCACCGCCGGACGACTGGCAAGTTCAGAGGTCGCCGGGCGGCGATAACGCGACTGATAGCCAAGCGAAACCGCCGAGGAGGTTGCAAACACGAGACGGCGTAGTGCACGCGCGGCTCACGTCGCTGGTAAAATGCAAACTTGCGAATTTCGCGTGCAGCCGCGGGGACGTGGCGGGGACGAGCGGCCGCGAGCATACGGAAGAGCAAAGTAAACAGCGGCTAGTGGCCGACAGAGTGGACGAGGAGGCGACTCGTCACCCTTCGACGCCTGCCGACCAACACGGCACACGTGTCTCATCCTCGGCGAGCGATGCTATCGCTGACTCGAGCTTCGTGACGATTCGCGTGAACCTCGGCGGCGATGAGGCTGTGAAGACCAGCTCGGTGATCACGGTCGATCGAGACGAGGAAGGGAAGTGTCGGGCCAAGTGTCAGGGAAGATCAGCGAGCAGGAGGAAGGCCAGGTCTGGCGAAGAGCGGAAGGTCCGTGGTTGGAACGATTGGAAGATGAAGCTCACCCTCAGGATGATTCGCATACGCGACAAGCTGATGCTGGGCCTCAGCGCCTTCGCGATACTGTTCACGATCCTGTTGGTGATGGACCTGCAGATGGATCTTGGGTACAGCGGCCATCATCTGGTACCAAGTCACGGACGCGTTCGCATCGGCGACGACCCCAACACCGACACGATTTACAATAACTTTCGAAGGAGGTTCCTCCAACGGATGAACGCGAGCAAGGAACAGACGAGCGGCGATGTGGCCGGTACGACGCAGAGCAGCGGCGGGAAGGACGGCGGGAACGAAGCTAGAGAGTCGAGGACAGAGAAGACCGAGGTGCACGACAGTTTCTCGGATTTAGTGGATCTTGTGGTGAAAGGTTATGGTGTTAGTGTTTACGAGGGAGTGGCTAGGATCAGCGGTGAGGACCATACGTACAATCCTACTCTGGGGGAGTTGAAGAAGATCAGCCTAAAGTGAGTCGATTTTTTTCTTACTGATTTTTTTTTTTTAAGTAGTTTTGAAATACTTGGATTTTACTGTCCATGTTTGCAATCTATGCTTCTTTTTTTTGTTTTTATAAACGAAGTACTCGTGTGAATCATTTTACTACGAAGTTCACACAGGGTTTCTGTGTGCGATTTTGAAAATTGAAGACCTCGCAAAAATGATTATTGTGCGTTTTTATGAATAAAATATTCGAGGAAGGAAGAGAAAAACAGTTTTGGATTCTACTAAATTCTATATCTCGCGAGACGTTTCAGTTTCTTGAAACAAATTGTTTACACCTTACAAATGTTCTTGGAAGTAGAGATTGTAAATGAAATTGCAAGATGAATGCTAAAAAAAGGAAATAATATAATCGTTATTCTTTCTCGCGTATACTGAATTTGTGGAGTCGATCAGCGTAGCATTCTGAACTTTCTGAATGCTTTGTCTGTATATTTTTCTGGCTACTTCATTTCCAAAAGGTAAATATTTACACTCGATTAAACAATGATTTGTGCTTTTCTGTCACGTGTATCTCTCGCTCGAGAGATTTTTTTTTATATTTATTATACGTCGTAACGACGCAAAGAGATAGCCGCGAAACTCAAATAATTTTATCTCGCGAATTTAAATCCAATTATTTTGCAATGAAAATTTTATACGGTCTAGTAGCTGGACTACTGCGAATTTCTATGCATTTATGTTGGGTTGACAGATATAAATGCATGAAATATATATCCAATATACTATTTATACTATACTAAGAATATATAATATATTATATATAATAAATATAATAATATAATATAAAATATATAAAAATATAATATAAATACGTAATATATATATATATATATATATAATATAAATATAATAAAAATATAAAATATAAAATATATAAAAATATATTATAATATATAATAAATATGTAATATATACAATATAAATATAATGTATAAAAATTTAATATAAATATATAAAAATATAATATATAATAAATATATAATAATATATAATATACTAAGAATTGCATGAAATATATATATAAAAATATAATATAAATATAATAAAAATATGAAAATATATAAAAATATATAATATATAATAAATTTATAATATATTAAGAATTGCATGAAATATATATCCAATAATTTTAATTAATAATTAATAATTTAATAATCAGTATCTAATAATTTAACACACGAAACAAATTTCAACATTTAACATCCGTAGTCTAATAATGATATTGTTTATCAAGAGATTTCTATCTATAATTTTTCAATTGTTTTTTTTTTTTGCTTTTAAGAATTGGAAATCGCAGTAAACTCGAGAAGATCTCATAAATTTCAAAATGACGTCGTTTGTCGAAATAGGTTGTCGGTGATATAATATTTCAATTAATAAGCACTCGCGAGAAGCTTCGAAAAAGACGAGAACATTTCACGCGCAAGTGACTTGATGAAACAATGATTTTAATTAATTATTCGAAATCGAAGAAAAAATATCTTTGTTCTACTCTCTCGTACTGACGGCGTTAGAAAGTCCCCGCCGTTACACGTTAGACGTGCATAACGTGTTTTACTTTACAAACTGGAGCAGAATTATTCGTACGGCCATCATTCGGAAACGCTAATTGTATATTGATGAACTAGGTCACTTCATCGATTACGTGTAATTTTAACGCGGACGAGGCAAATCGGAGAGGGTTATCAATTCGTGTCAATCGTGAGCAAACAGATCGTCGAAGAAAACGTCGTATACAGAAAGTATTATAGATCATTGGATTTTTAATTATTATTTGGTATTGTTTTTGGTATTACTTTTAACGAAAAAGCAAACAGTTTAACTAAAGAAGCGTCGACAGAAGTATTTTTCCCATAGCTTTGAAAAGCAGGCTAAGATGGAAACAGAAAGACAGAACATCTTGGAATCTGAATTTTACAATAAAAAATGTTTCAAAAGCTATTACCGTCTTTCTGATAAACTATGGTTTTCACGTAGAAAACTCCCTAGAGACTTTATTTGCTGGACGAAAAGACTCCGAGCGGATCACGTGCAAATTGATACAAAATGTCATTGTGGCAGTTTAGAGTTCAAGATCTAAACCATATAATTTGACAGTGGCCCAACCTCAATGACAATGGGAATGTCTTAATTAATAAGCTATGTGGAATGGGTTATTTCCCTCCCAACACAATGACTTTTTTTTTAAGCAAACCATATATTACTCCTCTGTTGATTATTCACAAATTTCTCAAAAAGCCATGGTTGACATCTGTTACGGATCTGTGTCAAGTGCTTAGCTGTGTTTCTCAGTGATTTAACAAAAGTTCTCTTAGTTTTAGTTGTAACCTCTAGTTACAAGTATGCAAATAGCAAACATGTATCTTAGCTGTATATCAGTGTAATCTTTGTACAAAAGTCTGCGAAATTGTTTCTGTAATGTTAGCATGCACAGCAGTGTGCATGCTTGCTAATAACCCTGTATAGGATTCTATAGCGGAATGTCTTAATTAATAAGCTATGTGGAATGGATTATTTCCCTCCCAACACAATGACTTTTTTTTTTAAGCAAACCATATATTACTCTGTTGATTATTCACAAATTTCTCAAAAAGCCATGGTTGGCATCTGTTACGGATCTGTGTCAAGTGCTTAGCTGTGTTTCTCAGTGACTTAACAAAACTTCTCTTAGTTTTAGTTGTAATCTCTAGTTACAAGTATGTAAATAGCAAACATGTATCTTAGCTGTATATCAGTGTAATCCTTGTACAAAAGTCTGCGAAATTGTTTCTGTAATGTTAGCATGCACAGCAGTGTGCATGCTTGCTAATAACCCTGTATAGGGTTCTATAGCGGAATGTCTTAATTAATAAGCTATGTGGAATGGGTTATTTCCCTCCCAACACAATGACTTTTTTTTTAAAGCAAACCTTATATTATTCTGTTATTATATATTAATGTAATTATATTAAACCTTATATTATTCTGTTATTATTATTATTCTGTTATATTATATATATATTATAATATTATATTTTATTTTTTTCTATTTTAAACGTTATATGTGTGTGTGTGTGTGTGTGTGTGTAAAAATATAAATGTATATATAAAAATAAAATAAAAATATATATATTGTAATAAATGCAAATATAATATAATATATATTATACATATAAAAATAAATATATATATAATATAATAAATATAAACACACATATATATAGGGTGTTTCGTAACTTGTTTGGAGCTGATTGTACGCCTAAAAATAATGAAAAAAAGTCATATAAATATATGTCCTATCTATTTTCATTTATGACATATAATGAATTTTATAAACAGAGCAAACTCTAGTAAGCTAGTTTTACCAGGTACATTCAATTTTCATAATAATCATAATTGGGATGAAGAAAACCCACGTGTTATTGTGCATTCAAGACATCAACACCAGTTTAGTTTAAACGTATGGGCAGGAATAATTGATAAATTTTTAATTGGACCTTTTTCTTTTGATGGGAAACTAACAGGCACAAAGTACGTTGATTTTTTGAGCACGCGTTTGCACGAAATATTAGAGGAAGTTCCAGTCGATATTAGACTTGGTATGCGGTTTATGCATGATGGAGCTCCGCCGCATTTTAGCCGAGTGGCTAGGCAATTTTTAA